AAGCTTCTTGCTCTACTACACTTGAAAATACTTTGCTATACTTTTCTAAAGTTTTTACTCCTTTATTGATTCACATTATAAATGAGTTTAAGGCAGACTGTTTTGTTACAAATGTGTTGATTTCCTCAAGTTATTCTGATTTTCTTATGAAGACTCTACTGAAAGTAATATAATTCATTATACCGCTGAACCTTGTATTTCATTGCAGACAGTCTCTGTCACAGAAAAGTAACTGGCATGAGGCAGTGAAACCAGATGCTTTCTTTTTAGTTTGAAAGGACAAGGAATTACGAAATGAGTAAATCGTGTATTTTGGCCCTATGACTCTTGTCAGCTAGGATAATATATTGTTTGAGATCTAAAAGCTGGAAAGTCTTTTTTCCTGATTTGAGTAAAGGACTTTCTGAATCAGACTATTACTTTTGCAATATTACGTTTGAAGAAGTATGATGAAAATTCAAATGCAAATTATTATTATTATGTTTAACAGAACTGGGTTTCCTTTCTGCTTGCAAAGACAATATGAAAAAGAGCAGGAAAACACATTTTAAATGTCAGTTTCTTGGTTTCTGAAAGCCTGCTTGTATACCTAAAGAAAAAATTTTCAGTGAAGTACCTGTTACGGCACCTTTCTCTATTGGATCATGAAGATCAGAGAAGTTGAATTAGTGGCCATCTTTAGAAAAGATACATTAGGTCTATATAGTAAGTAAATTCACCAAGGTAATTTGTTTGCAGGAAAGTATGCAAAATTTACGAAATTTAATAAAGGATATTTTTAAGGAGACTTGGCAACATGAATGATACTTGTATGCTATGAAAGCTCTGCAGCAGGAGCTGATTTTGGATGCCGAGAAGAAAAGTTGGCTTATAAAAGCTTTCCATGCTTTCTAGAGAAGATAAAGGATATTGCAGGCATGTATTTAATGTTTAAAAAGATGCGTAAAGATAAAACTGGCATTAGTCTAGAAGTGTTCCTTATTTGTCAAAAAGTTATTATGTATATATATACAGGAAAGGGGATTCATAAATCTGCGGCTTCTTATCAACGTATGTCTTCTTAAGGCAATATAGAAAGCTTGTGTACTCGTGCAGCTCAAAGGGGAGAAATTTCAAGAATATGTGGTCCCTGCAGTAAAGTATGTCATTTTAAATGTTAGCATTGTAATACCTGAATAATAATTGGAACTTCCTTTATTTCTCTACAACGCTAAACAAAAAGAAAAACCCTAATTTTCCCTTGTAGTTTGGCTTCTAAAGTTCTGCAGTAGGAGGGTCAAATGAAGTTCATAAGGTTCACTCTGGATGCCTTGACAGTTCTAGAAAGCTACTTTATAAAAAGTTTTTCTTTACCTGAAAAGACTTCTAAATTATGCTCAATGGTGCGCTAGACTTCTAAGCTGATTTGACTGTATAATATACAGTGTTATGATGATGATGATGATGGTGATGAATATTGCCTGCCAGCTTGCAAACCCTTAGAATTTACAATAAATTAGAACTTCAAGGTAATCTCTCCTATATAATGTAAAACTTTTTTTGTATTTTTCAGAATTTCTATTTAACTGTCCTTTGCTTCAACATGAAACAAACCTTGCTTCACATTCTATAATACATTAAATATCTGTTTATTAGAGTAAGGAAGAACAATCAAATACAGTTCTAGTTAATGTTTTTAATATTCTTTTAAATTTAAATTTAAAATTGTTTTTCCTGACTGTAAAAGTCATGTCCTACAAAATATGAAGTCTAACAGATTTTTCAAATCAAAACGCAAGTAGAGCAAAGATAAAATATTGTTAGCTAACATGAGTGACTACTACATCAAATAATGGATAATCTTTTATGTATTGAGAGTGATAAGTAATGAATGTAGTTAAAAATTCTTATTATGGTACTTTGTAGTTTATACTAGTGACATTCATTGACTCCGAGAAATGTGCACAGTTCACAATGATTTTCAAAAGTCCCAAAACCATGGGTTTCTGAGTTTAAACATGAAAAACGGGATGCAGATTGAGTTGACAAAAAGGTAGCATTAGGTAGCAAAGGTAATACTTAGGTTAACTCTCTAACTTTACATAGTAAAAGATAACATTAGTTAGGTAATGTTATAAAGGCGATTTCATATGCTCTGTTTTTGTAGAGGCAAGATGCTCAGATTTCCTTTAAATTCTCTAAAGCTCGTTTCACGTTACTTAACCCTCAGATAACTTTGTCATAGTTCATAGTGTATAGTTTTGTTTATGCTGTACAATTAAATAGGTAATTTTATTATTTAAATAAATTTTATAAAATTTATCTGTTTGAAATTAATTTTTAAAGAAAAGTTTCAACTCATCTCCTTATTAAATGAAATAATTGAATTCTATATAAGGGAGTCTTTTAGTGAGCTTGCCAGAATTCATAGTATATGGAGTGAGGACTGTCTAGATAATTTTAAAAATTCAGAACTCTGAAAGTCTCTTGTTTGTTGGTTTAAGGTTTTTCTTCTCCTACCCATCTATCTTTCCTTTAAAAAAGATCTCCTGTGTACCTGAAAATTAAGGCTGCTCTGAGGGAAATTACTTGCTTTCCTGTGAATATGCAGGGGAAGATCTTGAATGTTAGGAACAGGCATAGCTTCATTGAACACAGTCAGTTTTCAAGGTTACATCAGCTGGTCATCCGACTCTTATAAAATATAAAGAATAAACCATATTTTATTTATTTTTAAAAACATTAAGTTTTATTGTGACATTTATTTTCTAGTTTCTGATATTATTTTTTTTTAATTAGAGCTGACTTAGTTGTTATCACTAAAATGGAAATAGATTTTTTCAAGTATTTTTATGAATAAGTGTGGTTTTTCTTTACTGTAAGTGTATTGGGTTTGTGTAGCAAGGTCTTGGTAGTGGGGGGGCTGCAGGGGTGGCTTCTGTGAGAAGCTGCTAGAAGTTTTCCCTGTGTCCGCCCCTGGCCAAGACCCAGCCAATCAGCGACAGTGGAAGCGCCTCTGTGATAACATATTTAAGAAGGAACAAAACCTGCTGCGGCTCAGTAGCCAGAGAGAGAGGAGAAGTGAGAAGATGTGAGAGAAAACAGCCCTGCAGACACCCAGGCAGCAGGAGGGGCAGGAGGTGCTCCAGGCACCAGAGCAGAGATTCCCCTGCAGCCCATGGTGAAGACCATGGTGGGGCAGGCTGTCCCCCTGCAGCCCATGGAGGTCCACAGTGGAGCAGATGTCTACCTGCAGCCCAGGGAGGACCCCACAATGGAGTGGGTGGTTGCCTGAAGGAAGGAGGCTGTGACCCCATGGGAAGCCTGCGCCAGATCAGGTTCCTGGCAAGACTTTGCGGACCCATGGGGGAGGAGACCACGCCGAGGCAGAATTGCTGGCAGGACCTGTGACCCCACAGGGGACCCAACGCTGGAGCAGTCTGCTCCTGAGGGACTGCACCCTGTGGAAGGCACCCATGCTGGGGCAGTTCATGAAGAACTGTAGCCTGTGGGAAAGACATTCAAGGAGTTCATGGAGGACTGTCTCCCATGAGAGGGACCCCACGCTGGAGCAGGGGAAGAGTCCTCTCCCGAGGAAGAAGAAGCAGCAGAGACAACTTGTGATGAACTGACCCCAACCCCATTCCCGTCCCCCTGTGCTGCTTAGTGGGGGGGCTGCAGGGGTGGCTTCTGTGAGAAGCTGCTAGAAGTTTTCCCTGTGTCCGCCACTGGCCAAGACCAAGCCAATCAGCGACAGTGGAAGCGCCTCTGTGATAACATATTTAAGAAGGAACAAAACCTGCTGCGGCTCAGTAGCCAGAGAGAGAGGAGAAGTGAGAAGATGTGAGAGAAAACAGCCCTGCAGACACCCAGGCAGCAGGAGGGGCAGGAGGTGCTCCAGGCACCAGAGCAGAGATTCCCCTGCAGCCCATGGTGAAGACCATGGTGGGGCAGGCTGTCCCCCTGCAGCCCATGGAGGTCCACAGTGGAGCAGATGTCTACCTGCAGCCCAGGGAGGACCCCACAATGGAGTGGGTGGTTGCCTGAAGGAAGGAGGCTGTGACCCCATGGGAAGCCTGCGCCAGATCAGGTTCCTGGCAAGACTTTGCGGACCCATGGGGGAGGAGACCACGCCGAGGCAGAATTGCTGGCAGGACCTGTGACCCCACAGGGGACCCAACGCTGGAGCAGTCTGCTCCTGCGGGACTGCACCCCGTGGAAGGCACCCATGCTGGGGCAGTTCATGAAGAACTGTAGCCTGTGGGAAAGACATTCAAGGAGTTCATGGAGGACTGTCTCCCATGAGAGGGACCCCACGCTGGAGCAGGGGAAGAGTCCTCTCCCGAGGAAGAAGAAGCAGCAGAGACAACTTGTGATGAACTGACCCCAACCCCATTCCCGTCCCCCTGTGCTGCTGGGGGGAGTAGGTAGAGAAAACTGGGATTGAAGTTAAGCCCAGGAAGAAGGGAGGGGTGGGGGGAAGGTGTTTTAAGATTCAGCAGGTTTTTATCCTTTCCTTCTCTGATTTTGATCGGTAGTGAATCAAATTAATTTCATCAAGTTGAGTCTGTTTTGCCCATGATGGTAACTGGCAAATGATCTCTCCCTGTCCTTAACTCAACTCACAAGCCTTTTGATCTGCTTTTCTCTCCTCTGTCCGGTTAAAGAGGGGAGTGATAGAGTGGCATTGGTGGGCCCCTGGTGTCCAGCCAGGGTCAGACCACCACAATAAGGAAAGCTTTACACTCAGAATTAATTCTCCAGTGATTCTTGCTATGAGAATATAGATGACAGCATCAAAGTCATCTGGCTAGTGAATATGAAGGCAATCTTAAGAGCTTGGGTCAGGTGCTTAGCTCTAGAAGGGAACCATAGTTCTGATGGAAAATGTTTGATCTGTGCAAATTGTGCACTGCCAAGCAGTGGTGTTTTCTTTTATGTTTGAAGTTTCTCTTCAGTTGTACTGTAAGTTTTGTTTAATAAGCAAAAATTGCTCACAGCATTTCCTTTCTCCATTTTAGGCACAGAAATCATGGATAGAAAGAGCATTTTACAAGAGAGAATGTGTTCATATCATACCCAGCACCAAAGACCCCCATAGGTAATTGAATGCTACTTGTATGAAAAATGAAAGTCAATTACAAGAAAATGTCTACATATATGTGTGCATAGATATGTATATGGATATAAAGTTTGTAAAGACTTGTTTGATCAGAAGGTGGTTGAATTACTTCTGAAGTGATAGATTCCTATGGGCACTATTTGTTTACATTTCAAAAGTTATTTCATCAAAAAAAAAAAAAGATAAAGGTGGATAGGCATCTGATTACTTTATCTTCTTAGTTCCATATTCAGTGTCTTGAATATATACCTAAATTGGATGCATGACACACAATACTGTCAAAAGAAAATAATTGCAGTGAACTAGCAATTTAAAATATGTGCTCGTCCATGCAAAAGCTGATTATTTGGCCTGATGTCATCTCAAGACAGTAGAAAATGTTCTTTGACTTCATTTTGTACATATTTAGAACAAAGCATGATTTTACTGAAACATAGGAGAGTTCAAAGTAAACAAGATCATAGAAAGAGAAGATAATATCTGTACTATGTTGCTTCCACAAGTAGAGGCTTCAGACATCAGGAAAGTAGTCAGCAGAGTTGAAAAGGCATTTTTTTTGAAGATTTGTAGGCCATTTAAGAAAGTTCTTTTCCGTGTTCGGTTTGTACACGCACGTGACTCAAGTTTTCTGTTTGTTTAATGTCATAGGTGTTGCTGTGGGCGTCTAATAGGTCAACATGTTGGACTGACTCCAAGCATCTCTGTTATTCAGAATGAGAAAAATGAAAGCAGGCTTACCCGCAATGACATCCAGTCGGAGAAGTGGTCCATCAGCAAGCACACACAGCTCAGCCCGACGGACGCATTTGGAACCATTGAGTTCCAAGGAGGAGGCCACTCCAATAAAGCCATGGTAACCATATTTTTCTCTTAGATAAATGATGCTGCTAGCTCAAAAAAGGCATTCACAAAGAATAAGCAGCATTCTTTCTTAACTTCATTTTAAATTATTATTTAGTGTAAGACCATACGATATGTTTTTACGTATCATGGGCCTAAAAATTGGTGAACAGAATTAACTGCAAAAGCTGGAGTGCAGCATAAGAGGGGCTACCTTTATGAAGACTGAAGACATGCTAATGTGCTGCTATCTCCATGTTCTTCCAATGGCTAGCCATCCCTCTTTTTCTGAATAACTTCAGCATTCAAATACGGTTTTCCATTGTTGAGTATGTCTGCAAGGCTGACAAATTTGAAATATACCAGATTTCTTTTAATGTATTGGAGGATAGACCAGTTCAACTTACTGATTCATCTTTCATTGAAATAAGAGGCCCCTTAAGTGTCTAAGCTAGGAGCTGGGAAATCCCTATTCTGCCACAGATTTCTTTGAGCAAGTAATTTCATCATAATACAATGCTATGGAGTGATACCGAAGTATATTAATCTGAAGGCATTGCTCCACTAAATTGGAGAGATGTTTCCAGCACCCACACTAACCCATGCATGTATTTCTTTTCTGTGGCATTACTTGAAAGGAAGAATCTCTCTGGCTCTATCTAAACTGCAGAACCTGTGACTTTGGGAATGAAAAATGAGTGTGTACCTAGTGCATCATGGCCAAGATACTGCTTTGGGCAGCAGTGAGGGCAGAAGCAGAACCCCTGGGTGCTGTGCAAAATAACCTGCCCAGCAACCCAGTGCCATCTTATTTGCCTGAATTCTTCCCACCAGGTCTCTCAGATCTGTAGTGGTACTGCATGGATTAGAGACAATGAAGAGCTCACATACTATGTTAGCAAGAGCCAGGTGCTGGAGATGGAATGGTTACTTGAGTGGATGGTTCTGTTCACCCAGATGGATGGCTTCTTTTGATAGAAACCAGAAAACACTGTTGCATCAAGAAACAGAAAATTAGGTCATTTCTCTGAGAGTATCACAGACACCTTATGTTCAGTTGGTAGCCAAACACCTAAAAATCTGCAAGGCCATTGCTAGAGAGAGACACTGATTCAGTAAATAACATTTGTTTAGTGTGAATAAATTGACACTTCCCTTGGCACTGAAATTAACCAAACCATGTTGTTGGTAACTTCACAAGGAGTGGGAACAAAACAGAATGCTTTTCACCAAAACTGAGAAAAATTCAGAGATACAGTAACCATCATGCTATTAACCATATATGGATACTTTGCATTAAATCTGTCTTTATAAGAATAGTAATTACTAAAGCTTTTTGAGTGATAGCCTTGAAGATCATTATAAAGCAATAAACTTCTCTGCCTAGACAAAAGTAGTCTTGGGCAGCCAAGAAATGATGAAGGGTTTAGGGAAGCTGTTGATAACAATTTCTCTAGAGGATTTCTGGTCTTTGTTGGGATTCTGATGTCCTGGCACAGTGCCATGAGAGAACAGCAGATGCTCTAAGGTACGTGCTGTATGCTCAAAGAAATATACTTTAAGTAAAATTGTGGCGATAAAACTGGAAGACAACATGAAGAAAAGAAGAATCTTGTCACAGAGTGCAATTAGGGACAAAACCATGAAGAATTCAGAAAAGACCAAAAGGGGTTAAAAATCTGAGAGATCTAAATAACAAGTTAAAACTCAGGGACGAATACAGACAAAACATTTATTGCTAGAAAAAATCTGGGTTTATTTTGACAGTACTAGAATCAGGAAGATAGTTGCATCTGCCACCTATTCATAATTATTAAACCCCACTTGAAACATGGGAACATCCAAATTCTTCATTAATTAAATAAGTCTGTAAAAGCTTCAGAAATTCAGTCATCCCACTAGTGGGAAAAGTGCTTCAAATTAAACAATTCACTAAATATCCCTTTAATGGGTGACCTGTTTGGTTACCACCAATGAGAAAAACCTCATTCATATGACCAAAACACAAATTGGGAGGTTTGCATAACCAGTAATTGTGCATTTTTTAAAATAGAAACAAAATAAAGAGCTTCGTTATACTGTGGTGTGCTTGTCACTGAAAACAGTATGAAGGTGTCCTTGTGGTCATATTTCCAGCACCAAGCGTTATTAGTCAAACAGCTGTTTAACTAGTTGTTGCAGTTTTATTAACAGAAAGAATGAAATGCCTATCTCTGAATTTACTGGATACAAGGTCTTTCCCATGATAAATAAAACTTACTAAATCAAAAGCTTTCTGTGAAAGCCAAGAGTTTGCTCAGTCAAAGCAACCAGCCAGTTTTGCCAGCAGAGAAGGGGGAAAAAAGAGCATTTAAATTATCTTGAAAACTAGGACTTGGAAAAAGAAACAAGTACTTAATAATCCGTGGAAACATTTTTGTTCAGACAGTATCTTTTCAAACCCAAAAGCAGAGAAGTTGGAACATCAACAGGCGCCAGAGAGAGACAAAAGGGAGAAAACATGATAAAAGGATATTTGTTCTTTTCTAAAAATATGCTAGTGATGTTCTACTGACTAGATACCAAATATCACTATAGCATACAAGCTGATTTTTGCTGACAATCATAGTAGGTTAATATTGTGCCTATTGGCTAATAGAATAACCCTATAAAGCAGCAAGATTTAGCAAGCTGACCAACATCAGGGAAAGCCTCAGGGGAAGAATTTGGCATAAAATTCACCACCTGTTCCTTACTTTAGTTCCTGAAATGAATGCCCACAAATTAAAATTATTAAGCAAGGGAAACACAGAAATTAGTAGTATTATCTTGGTCTGTGCTAACAGCAAATTAGTGAATTTTTCAGCATCAGGCTACAAGGAATGAGATTGGATTTATTAATGGAAACCATAACCTCAGATTTATAACTGGGAAACTGGTAATTAATGAAACAGATTAGTGCATGTAAGGCTGACAGATAATTATTTCCTCCATTGGAAGTACAGAATTAGTTTGTAATAAGATATATACAAATTTGATAATAAATATATGTATACTTTGCATGTATATTTGCAAGCCACAAATGCAGTGATATTATATCAGTTGCCACCAGACAATAAACAGTCTGAAAATGAAAATTACACTGAAATTATACCAGGACACATGGATTTGGAACAAAATGGAAAAGACAATGTAGGTTTACCTATTGCCAGTAGAACTGCTGTGCCATTAATTTCATTTCCACAGCAACATAGAACAAAAATTCTCAAGCAGCATGAATTTTGCTAATAGTTGTTAAAGTACTTTCAGTGGGGCTACACTAAGCTACTTAAATCAGTGATGTGAATAGCTGAGGGTGCAGCAGATTATACAGAAATGTATAGCCAAGATTAGATGACTGGTTAACAAGATCTGTTACTAAAGGTGCCTTTTTATCAGTCTTCATGTAACCACAGATGATCCTGTAACAGCACTGTGGTTTTTAGATCTCTATTAATCTCATATTTTCATGCCATCTCATATTTTCAATTTTAAGAAAGATACTTAACAGTGTTGCTGTTCACATTTACATTGTTTTTATGGCAGATTTTCAATTCTCACAACTGTAAAAAGATCTGAGAGGCATAAACTTGATTAATAGCTTTTTCAATAAAACAGTGGATTAAAAAAAAGGTAGGAAAATTAATAAAATGTGATCTACTTGTATCAGTTGGCTCTTAGTAGTTTGAGAAATAACATGGATGACTTCATCTAACTATGTGCTGGCAATTTATTACCCTAACTCTCAGAGTAATGATCAAACTGGTGGTTCCATTTCAATTGTGAGCAATATTCTGAAAAATTTTAAAATAGGTTCTTGTCATTAGTGGACCAGTTAAGACAACCTTGCTGTGATGCATTTTGTGCTGAACTTGTGACCAGACTAAGCTGATTTTTTTAATTCACTGTCTGCCTTTCCGCAGAAAAAAACAAAAAAAACCTTAACATTCTTTCATTAATTAGTGTGCCTGTATTCCATATCAACCTTTTTTAAAGGGCTGTTCTTTACAGACTTGAAATTTCTTTGATCATGGTTTTTCAAGGTTAGGTGGAAGATGGCTGTTTGAAAAACTTTAGAGTTAGATACATTCCTCCTAATTGAATGCATTCCAAAAATACATTTAACATGCACACTAAAAAGCTAACATATGTTTGCAGCTGTAGAAGAAATAAAATTTATTTCAGTGTTACAAGCTTAACCTTTCTTACAGTGCATTGAAACATTAAAGAACATCAGTCGAATCCCAATGTACATAAACAGTTTCTTAGACTTTCTAATATTCAGATCCTAAAAACATTATACTATATCAAGTATATTTGGAAATCAGCCACATAGAAAGGTATATTTCTGCTTTTAAAATATGTTGAGTTTTATCAAAACTGTGTAAAAATTATCTTAAAAACCGTTGGTGCTGTTGACAGAAAAGCAAGATCATCCTGTAACTTGCCTAAACCATGAAAAAGGCAGCAAACATTTACAGAATTTAAAAGATGGTGTCCTGCATGGAGAAAAAGGGGAAATAACACAGAAAAACATCATCCAAAGCCCGTTGAAATCAACGAGGGCCCTTCCACTGACTATTTAGTGGAACTTGGATGAGGCCTTAAGATGTTTAAAAACCTTAACTTATAAGGAACTAGTCCAGTTTCAGTTTAAGTGACAGTTTTTTCTGTTGCATTCAGTAAGAATTATGTCAGGCCTATTTTTTTATGTGAAGATCACACTTTGCGGGAACGAGTCTTTAGCTTGAAGAAGTGTCTGCAGTGATGGAATCTTATTTAAGGTAGGTGAAATAGCCACCCAGATCTGCATGGATCAAAGACAATGGAACAACATTAGACTGCAGATCACAAAATGTTCTCTGGAGAGATTTTCTTTAAAGCAATACAACAAAATTCTGAATCTATTTTATTCATTGAGACTCTCATCTACAATCGTTCACCATGTACTTCAATGACATAGCTGTGCTTGAGTAACAAAGTAATAATTTTACCACTCAGGAACTTAGACTTTTGCCCTAGGGCACTGGAGTCCAACTTGCAAGCATCTGTCTGACTGATGATGGACACAGTTATTTTTTAGGAAACCACTTGATAAAAAAAATGAAACAACTATTGGTATCGAATGGCACCCTTGATGACTACTTCTGTGCTAGTTTAGGGATCAAATGGGCAAGACAGCTTGAAATTGATGATTTATCATTTCACAGTGTTATGCTGATATCAGTCAGGTCAGTCTATACATTTTGTGGTTCAAAAATATACTTTTGCTTCCTATCTTGCCCTGCTCTTCTGACGCAACAGTTGAAGTCTTGCATCCAATCCAAACACCACTCCCGTGAAGAAGGGATTAAATCATTTGCCATTAGAACTGATCATTTATACAGCTGACAGATACACCAGACATGGAGTTGCAGAGAACAGAGCAGTGGTTTAGCTTAGATTTACATTTAAATTTTAAATCTGCCTCCGGAGGCTATAGCAAAAGAATGCAGGAATGGCAGAAATACTCATCAAGATTCTAAACAAAAACTGAAAAGGCCAAATATGCTACAAGATTGAAAGAAATTAATTTTTAATATGGACAAAAATGGCCTTAAAAGTGTTTATTCATAATTTAATGCATACTTTGAAAGTGATGACAAAAGAATTCTCTTGTACTTACTAGCTAACATGTTAAGTAATGGCAAAAGATCTCAAGGATACCAAACTGGGAATGGCCTCTGTAAGAGCAAAAATGAATCAGACAGTCATAAAAATAGATGTCTATGCGCAGAGGAAAAATCATGATGTTTGGCACCATTGCCCTTCTCAGAAAACTTCTAAAACAGTAAAGTTTATCCATGATGATTTACATTTTAATTTACATGAAAAAAAAAAACTTCTAGGTTTATTTTTGCTTAAATTTCCTCTTTATAAAGTAAAATGAATTCTTATCATAAGTATAGAGGAGTTCTGCCTGTAGTATAAAGAACAAGCAGTTTTTGTAATAAAAGATGGCTACATTTCAAATAAATGTAAAAGAAATTTCTTCTAAATTTGTGATTCACTATTTAGATTTATATTTATTGAAATTCAGAGGTCTTAGTGGACAAGAAAATAAAAGATTTTTGACAATTAATAAATAGGCTTAAGAAGGTAGGTACAGTGAAGTCACACATTCTGTGTATAAAACAATGCTAAAGAATCAAAAAACAGGTCATTAGCTGTAGATAATACACATATGATGCCATTTGTGCCTTCATCTTAATATCATCCCCGATGATGCAGTGTCCTCTGTTTTCAGCAAATTTATATGGCCATTACTAATATAAATTCACTTTAATTATCTTTCTAAAACTACCAGTCTGTCTTCACCGAAAAACAGAGTAAGGTACCAGTGTTCCCAAAACATAATCTCCATATTTGGACCAGCAGAGGTTTCGTGAGCACCCCCTGAAGCATGTTGTCCATCTATTAATGCCTGCAGTACTAAGGCATTGCCCTTTGCAACCTCAGATTTCCCTAAGGACAGAGCAAAGGGAATAAGCATCAGTCTCTTTACAACCCCTCCAGTGTGTTAAAACTTTGACAGCCCCCGAATCCTATTCAAAATTATTAGCTTCACCATCTGGTCAGTGGGATCAGATGCCATGCAAGGTTTTCTCAACTCCCACACAGAAAATTGAATGGAGCAGCTACTGAAGATACAGTTAATGCATATATAAGCTTGAGGGTACGTTATGCTCTTGCCAGACATGAATATTGTATGTTCTTTGTCCATTAGCTGCTATGAATTTGCCTGGCTGCTGCAGAGAACATTACTGCTGCACTGGGGTGTATGTGCATTCCCAAGTTCTTGCTCAGCTTTCAGTTTGGCTGTGCTCCACTTCCCTGTCACTATTTGCCCAAACGGGCTTCTGCTTCCAGAAATGTTAAGAATAGCTGTTCACTGTGCAACAACCCATTCTTGCAAAGAAGTGTGTCTATTAACAATTTCTTCTGGAAAAAGTCAAGTCCTTATTTGTTATTCAACTAGAAAGGAGTCCACTTTACTGTTATATCATTTACTAAAAAAGAACAATCTTTTGGCAAGAAGTACTGATTAGACATGTTAAAAAGGGACAAAATTATTACATAGGATATGTGGATATTATACTACCTGGCACGTTACCATAAATAACTTAGAACTAGGCGTTCCTCTGGCTGAAAGCAAAGGTGCCTGTGTTATACACCTGATGGCTGTGCTGACAACCCGTCAAGGGAAAGACTACTGAAGCAACTCTATATGCATTGGTTCAGTCGGAAGTTTGATAGATGAGTGGCTTTCTATAACCTATTTTATTCAATTAAGAGGGTCCTTCCAGGTCTTACCAGCTATAGAAAGAATTTTATCCTCTTACAGCCCATTTCTGCTATGCAACTAGAATTCAAAAAAGTATCATCTGCCCTGTCATGGGCTTTGTGAAACCCTTCATACATCAGCAACAGAAAGAGCAGGAGAAAGAGACAGGTATGTGTGTGACATGGTAGTGCTGTAGAAATTTTGAAGACAGTTGTTATCATTGAGCACACACAGATGGGCATGATCTCCCTTGGGCCAAAATGCTGCAGATGTAGCACAGAATAGCCAAGGACTGGAAATGTGTAAATGTGGTTAAAAGCACTTTCAGGGTCCTGTGTCTTATTAAACAAATTCATGAATCCATACAAATCAGTCTGTAAGTCATAAGTTAACATTCATTCATCTGAAAAGTACCTGTTTTGTAGTCTTGCTCAGTTTAAACTTATGTGTGCTTGAACAACCGAGCTTGTTTCTTTTGTTTCCTACCTTTTGGGAGTTTGATTTTGTTAATTTGAAAATAAGATACAAGTGAATGCACAGTTTTGACTCTGACTACCTAGGTCATCTTTGGCAGACCACTTAAATTTTTGCTCCAGTTAAAGACATCTATCTTTCAAGCATTGCTACACATATAGAACCAATTAATGACTTAATTTCCTAAATAAAGGAAAATTGTACAGCCTGTGAATTGCCAGTGTTCCATTATTCCTAGTTTCCTAACTTTTCAAAAGTCATCAAGTTAGGAATTAGTTAGTGCTTTTGTCATAAAGGTTGCCTTTTTTCAGTGATCCTTTGGGCATAGATCATACGTGTTAGGAACCAGTGAGTATAACCAATCTTTTTTTCTCTGCTACTGCCCTTATTTCTGCAGTATGTACGAGTGTCTTTTGACACAAAGCCTGACCTTCTTCTGCATCTGATGACCAAAGAGTGGCAGCTTGAGCTCCCTAAACTTCTCATCTCTGTGCATGGGGGCCTTCAGAATTTTGAGCTTCAGCCAAAACTCAAGCAAGTCTTTGGAAAAGGCCTCATTAAGGCTGCTATGACAACTGGAGCATGGATATTCACCGGAGGAGTAAACACAGGTAACAGCAACATTGAAATGAAAGCACAGTGGCATCTAGGAGATTTCTTCACAGAAAAAAAAATTAGTACTGATGAGATTAGGAAGCCCATTCCATGTTTTATTTTATTAGTGTTGGCTGTACTACGTGCAAACAAGAAAATGCCAAGTTCATACCAGCCTGGCAGCTACCAGGAAATAAAAGGTTTGCTAAAGCATGAAAAGCACACTGGGGAGCTGAAAATAAAGCCTCCTATGAGACAATTATATTAGTATATTGCAAGTGAAGAGTTTATAAGATCAACAGTAAACTGCATGGAGGGGCTACAGACCAGAAACCAAAGAACTCAAAACTCTTATTACATAAAATGGAAAGCATCTTTATCCAGAAAAGACCTCTATTTTATCTTATAAGATGATCTCAAGTATGAAAGGAAAAAAGGTTCTGTTTTGTGGATGTGGCGGAAAACTGTATTGTAAGTATCACTTCTTCCTTTCTTGTAGACAGCTTGACCTAATTTTTTTCTGTTACCCCTGCAGCAAGAGCGATAACACTGCCAATTCTATTCAAAGTTAAGAACATCTGTAACATACCATATGGGTGTCCTAATGACCCAAGATAGCAGCTGGCCCAGCTCTGCTGGGAGACAGCATGTAAGGTTTGGGGATAAGCTGCAAAACCTCATTCCCCAGATAAAAAAGGTTGGGCAGTGGCTTCCCAGTTATCCTCCCTGAAGGAGGCAGAAAGGAGGAGTCAGGGGCAAGTCACAGAGTCTGCTAGACATAAATGCAAAAAGTTTTGAGTGAGGACATGTACTTATAAATTCTTACGTCATTCTCATTTGCTGCAGTAACAAAGCGATAATTTATTACTTTAGTAATCCCACAGAGCATATCCTCTTACTGTCTATGGAAAACATTGTAAACACCCTATTGTGCATTAATTTTAGTGCATTGTGGATCAACTCCTACATATTTGAATATGAATGCTTAATAGGAGTCTTGGGCTTTTTTAGTTTCCAGAGCACATAAAATTTAAAACAATATTCAGTTTTATTACAGCAGCATTACAAATAGCAAAGAAGATAGCTTCTGGGGTGTTAGGTAAATAGACAAACTCACATGTATGTAATATCCCCCACATCTCTGCAGAACAAAGAAGAAAATTGTGTTAAATGTTGACCTGTGTACTGCGGTGATAATAGTTCTGTTAGTTGGCAGGTACTCTTGTAGTGATGATGGCAAAGACAGATATACATTTTAAGTTAAAAGCACATTAGAAAACTGTAGATATTGTACACTCATTGCAGTGGATTTTCACAGGGGCTGTAGAAATTAAACTACATAAATTTTGTAAACAAGGACTGACTATAACATTTACATTTGGCAAATACACAACTGCTTCATAACATTTTTCAAATCATCATGGCTGCAAATGCCAAAACAATACAAATGAACCAGGAAAGTCAACATAATTACTGCTGAAAAGAATTTTTTTTTCCTGTAATCAAAAATTACCTAGACAAAACAATGAAGTTCAAGTTGTTGTGTGTTATTTTAAAAATATATAATTCCAGAAGCAGTTCTGCATTATCAGTTATCATTTTTTTATTGCCGGCTTTGATTTCCGGAGCAAAGCATTTGATTGTTCCAGGGCTAGGTTTTCAAACTGTGTAGGTGAAAATTAAGTGGTTTATCTCTATGTGAAATAGTACAAATTGAGAATTTGTACAATGGAACAGTCTGTTCCGTGGATGATTAATTTTTAACTCAGATTTCTCTTAAGGAAAAGTATATTTGAAAAACCCTTAAATACTGCTTTTGGAGTGAGAATCAGTGATGTGACAGGGATGGTGCACACCTGGCTATAACTGTGACTGTTAAGTGACTTAAACAAGTTGTTCTGAATATTCATGCCATGCCAAAAGTTGATTGTTCTAAATAGCAGAAATTTTTGCAGTCTGGACAGATTTTTTGTTTTGACTCCTTTGGGTTGCTGGATCAGAGCTTAATTCATAGCTGATTGTGGGTACAGGTTGGTTTTGGGTTTTTTTTCCTTTTCTACCACAGGAAGGAAATTAGACTCCAGGACTTAGAGGATTTGTTAGGCTGTGGAGTTTTGTCTTACATGGTTCATTTATGGTGCAGAAAACCTACAGCTAAAGTCACATCTATTGTGTGACTGTTGTAATTCCAATCCAGTCATCCTGAAATTGTGGAATCTGAACAAGAAGCAAACACAGAAACTGAGCAGCAGATAACATCCGCAGCAAATCCACAGATCTGCTTCAGTGCAGCCACATCACAAATATAGTTATTGATACACAGGTAAAAAAAATATTTTATTAAAAGGAAGGAGGTAGGGCACTTCTCTGCACAGAGATACCACTGAAACACTGACAGAGCTGGCCTGAAGTATACAAGGAGCGTTACCAGAAAGCACTTCGAAGAGAGCTGGGGAGCACTCATTCTCCCTGTACTAATTTCTGTTTTCTCACTGATCCCCAGGAGGGTTCTAATACTCTACTGCAAGCTATCTCAGGTGACTGAGTTTGTTTGGAAAGCATGGTAGAGTAGCTCACCACAGAGTAGGGTGATGATGTTTTCACATGTCCGTCCTTTATTCAGACAGAAGGGAACATTTGTGTGCAAAGCAGGATAAAAATGCTTGCATACATATATGGGTGTGAACACAGGCACAGAAAAACAAAATACAGTCAGCTGTCAACATTTCCATTCTTATTTCTAGAGTTGCGTAATTTTTTTCTTGCTATTTAATGTCTTTTAGATTAGATAAAATGGACTTTCACTATTACTGTAATAATAATAGGAATATATTCATAGTTTTACTTAATTATAAGTATACGCATAGATGTTCCCTAAAAAAAGAATTCTATATTAAATACATATCATAATGAACAAAAAGGACATAATTATGAATTTCTGTTTTATGCTGTTTCTTTCCCAGGAGTCATTCGGCATGTTGGAGATGCACTGAAAGATCATGCCTCAAAATCTCGAGGGAAGATCTGCACCATTGGTATAGCTCCCTGGGGGATTGTGGAAAATCAAGAGGATCTGATTGGCAAAGATGTAAGCCCTATATGGACATAGATCACCTCCAATATATATAAATTTTCCAGTTACTTTTCCTTTCCTGTCCATCCCTCACTTAACAATTCCTCATAGAATTAATGTCTGCAGGAAAAAATCAATACATACACAGCTTTTCCATTATGGTTGATAGCAGTTTTGACATGGCAACAATAAAAATTCCTGCACTGCATGTTCTTTAAAAATAAATTATAAAGAAATGTCATTAAATGCTATTCTTGAAAATATATTGAAGTTTCATCCTCAGAAGACTATGAACCCTGAAAAGTGTCTAAGAAAACACTGACTGCAAAGCTTGAAGTCTGATTTATTTTGAAACAATAATGCATTGGTTAAATTCAGAATTGCAGACTGTCTTCCTTATAATATATTCTGTCCTATGCATTTTTATTACTGCAATTGTGAAGAGTCTTATAAATGTATTGGACAGGAGGCCAGACCTCAAAGAATCCTTACTTCAGTCACCTTCTGAAGGGCAGAGCTGATGTTTCTTTTACTCTTTCACATCATTCCTCTCTTTTAAACCTATACTGTCACTGAGAAATATTAAACCCCAATTTCAAATACATTAATAGTTTACTTGCACTGGTTATATGTTACCTGAAGCTTTTCTGAGCCCTTTTTTTTTCCTTACCTCTGATTCATTCCGAAGCAACCTGCCTGAGCACCAGTGCTAACTTTGAAAGGAGAAAAGAGATAGTCTTCATTCTGCATAATGAATGTTTTTCTTGTCTACATTACTCTCAACCCTTTTTCTCTGTATGTTCATCTATTAGCAATTTTGGGAGGGGAAGAAGATTCAATTATCAGTTAGGTCAGAAGGAATTACAATGAGTATGAAGAAATTGATCCAACTGGAATTCATTGCAATTCACTATTAAAGTATAGCCATTAAGGGGAATTGTATTAGCATGGGATTTTGTATTCTAATACCAGCAGTGCTTGTAGAATAGGGTTACCAATATATAGAAACAAGCAGCATGCAACTCTGCAGCAGTAATTCTGAGTCACTAACTTCTGAGATGCAGTGCAAAAGGTGGCTAGCAGAAATAGCTGATCACAAAGATGAGGTGTATGTTGTTAAAGAAGTGTAATGATGTACACATCAATTGCAAATAAGCAGTGTTTACTGACTATGCATGGAGTACTGGTAGCATTGCAAGAAGAAAGAAGGCAAGAAAGGACATCAAATTAGTCATGAATTTTGGGACATTATTGTTCCTCCATTAGTTATCTCCACCTGTTGGAAAGCTACCTACCTCTGTTCTCAGCTAGTCACCACCTGTTAAAGGGGCTCTGGAACCTTCTTTTACAGAAAGAGTTGAAGAAAGAAATTGGTTTCACAGCTATTCCAGCCAACTGGAACAGTCCCCCCTGATTTCTGATTTCTTTAAAAGACATTTTCCTCTAAATATCCTTCCAATTTAACAGAAAAACAAGAAGTTGTACGCTAGACTTTTTTTAAAAAAAAAGCTTTCTGGTAAATCAAAAAAGGTTAATACTTAGTCTCATCATCAGACAGAAAGTGAAAAAAGTTTAAAAAACAGTACATAAAACAAATTTGGATAAAGTCTTCCATTAATGCATCACTAAGGGTCATCACTAAGGAAAAAATTGGTTCCAAAATGTATCTGTGATAGATAAAATTGAAACTTTTCCTCCGAACCTCCTGGCCCCTAATATTTTCATAAAATGATTGATCAATGGCATGATGCAATGCTGAAGCATTTCTGGTTCTATCCATCTCTAATGCACATGTAATGATATTGCTTTATGCTTACCAGTATTGAATTTCATCCCCCATTTTATTGCCTAGCCAGGCCGCTTTGTAAAGACTTTCTTTAACTCTTCATAGTCCACTGAAATATCTGTAAGCCTTTCATGCTCTTATTAACCCCAAATCCTTAATAACTGTGTTGAGCAGAACATGACCCAGCTTGAGGTAGGCCACTTATGTCACTAAATCTTCTTAGTAACACTCAGTCTTTGCAAAAATTAACTTTTCCTTCTTACTGTTTTCCTTCCCTTCCCCTCAGCTTTCCCCAGTTACTAATCCCTCAAAGGACTTTCCCTCTTATCAATGTGTGTAGTTTCTTCAGAAGCATTTGGTGAGGAAGCTTTTTGAAAGTTTTTGAAAATCAAAGTGTACTTTATTGACTGGCTCATTAGAGATGAATGCTGTGAAATGAACCAAGAGGGGGAAATATAAATACTACCATAAGCATGTAAAATGAATCATCATTAAGCAAGAAACAAAAGCCACAAAGGATTATGTAGGGGGAAAAAAAGTCAACCAATAGTAAAAGGCCTGTCAAACTCCGGCATCAATGCGTCTTTATGCCTGTATGCACTATGTCTAGTTAAATTATGATCAGAACTGAAAAGTTGTCAAAACATACTCTTCCAGCATCAGATAGATGCAGAAAATTGTCTTAGTCATGGGATTTGGGAGGGGAGGGGAGGGGAGGGGAGGGAGTTATTGACATTGCACATGCGCCAGTGTGTGTTGCCTCCCTGTGTCTCATGGCAAGTCAGGCATGCTCAGCAGAGCTGTGCCGCTGCTAATGCTCCCGCCCTCGCCTGGTCTGTATGGACCTTGAAGTCATAGCTGAGGAGTTTTATCACATTTACCAGTTGATCTAAATCAGCCAGCTCTTGGGAATCCCAAGCGCTTTCCTCAGAGCCATAAAGAGAACCGGCCAAGTTAAGCAAAATACTACTGTTGCTTGCTATTTGTTATATTGTGATGCTTAAAGATCCCTAAAGAGACCTGTCTTACTCCAGTACTGTAAGAGTAATATAGCAGAAAATAGTGCCTCTCTTAACACACTTAGATTCTAATTTAAAAACAAAGCACACAAGGGAAAGGTAGGTAGTTACCTTATTTCCAGTTTTCTGATATTTGAGACTTAAATCAAAATATGCTTTTATTGTGCGACTCAGTGAAAGGACATTTCAATCATACTATGATATGCCATTGATCAGTCAAGATGTATATAACATCTTGTATATATAGTATATAACCTACTAACTTAAATAGGATGCATTTTTTTTAGTAATTAAAGTTATGAAAGAAAAAAAACCCAACTTTTTTGTACTGAACTAATTGAAACTAAAATTGAGCTTCTGTGCTACTTTGCTGAAATCACTACAAAACCCATAACACCCACTCTTCCATGCCTGCTATAAAAATTCTTCCATACATGAATCCAACAGGTTGACATAAGGAGAAATTCCTAAACTCTCTCCAAATTTCTTCGGTTTTATTTGTGTCCCTTAGAGTACTGTTATAACTGTGGATTATAGTGTGTTTCTCTCCTTAAATTACTTCATTGATCTTTCAGTTGCACTCAACAACTAGAGTATGGCAGAACTGAAGCTCAGTTTGGAAAAAGTAAAATACTTATTTTTAACAAAGGCTTTAGCCAGTGGAAAGGAAGCAGTTGGCTTTTATAATTTAGTGCAGCAGAATATACAACCCCAAATAAAAGCCTACTTGTAGACTTGTGGATAAACAGATAAAAGTGCTATGTAAAAGCAAAAAGTGTTATCAGAAAGAAAACTATTTTCTCACAGCAAATTTTTATCTATATAATAAATATATATTATACAAATACCTACTATATATAGCATATATATTATATGACAATATATATAATATTTGATATTAACCTCCTATATGTTATATATTATGTATTTTTAAAATATATATCAACCCCTTTCATGCAGTCTGTGTTCCAGAATAAATTACATTTTTTTTTACTTCCTAGAACTCAAATGTTGGAAGCATGATCATTGCCAGCTGTAGGTGTTCTTTATGGACTTCACAAATAACAGATACCTGTTCTTTTGTACTGCTCAGAATATTCAGGAAAAATATATTAAATAAAACTCTAGCAATGAGTATACTGCTACTTGAAACCTGCTCTCCTACATAGCTGAAATCATAAAAATAAGGAGCAAGTGTTTTCCCTTTCTATATAAAAGCTAAATTTATATTGGACTAAACATAAGTTGAATCAGAACATCCTTAGATAGTTCTTTTGTTAAAAAATAAAGCCTGGATTTCTCAGTCTGTTTCCAGATAATGCTTCTGATTTATTAAAGACTGCAGGTTCAGAGTAACCAATTTTTATATTAGTGCAATTGCTGAATTTTATAACTATAACTGGAGGCAAGAACATGTCATCAGCAAAGTTATCTCAAATGGATGCTCAAATGGTACTCACAGCAGAACTCTGCACCCTTGCTCTACTTGCTCAGCTGTATCTTCATCTTTTTTTTTGGTATTGGTTTGGATAGTGGAATAGGGAGGAAATTTGAAAGCTGGAAGGTTGTACGCACTTCGGAGGGCAGGGTCACAGTGGAGAAGTTAGAAGTCAGCCTGTCATGCTGCAGGTGCTAGCATGAACTTCTCAAAATCCCTGGGCAGTAACAGACTAGACAACTTCTTCAGGAAAGGTGGGGACCTTCTATGTTGTAGTGGGTGACGGGGTAATTATTAATAATTAACAACTGGATTACCTCATAACTCCATGCTGTTTCAGAAAGCTGAGTATTGGGCTGGATTTAGGAACTGGCTCATATAGGACCTTGGGAATCATTCATTTTTATAGCACTGGGCACAGGTGAGGCCAACGTTTAGTTATAACACAAGCCAAGGAAGTAACAGCAAGCAGGAGGTGCAGGAAATATAACCAATGGAGAAAGCTTAAAGCTTAGAGAACTGGAATTGTTTACTATATATTACAGCTGAACTAACTGAGAAAGGCTTATTTTCATCAACACATCAAGCCCTGCCCACTCCCATCTCCCTGATCCTTTGTTAATGCTTCATTATAAAGGCCTTCACTCTGCCAGTACCAAGTCCCCTTTGTTTCCAGAATACCACCTACCTCCGTGAGATTACCAAAGGTTATCTGAACCAGAAAAAGTGCGTGTTCAAGAATTAGTCTCGCCTTAGAATTAATGTCTCCTTACCGTTCATGTATATGAAAAAAAAAAAATCATATAGCTGTCAAGCTTGATGAGTATGTAGCCAGAACTCACCACTTTAAACCATGGTCTTTAAAACATACTCTGGTGAATCTTGTCAGAAAGACCAGCATTCATACTACCTACTCTGTATGTATGAACCCGACAATACATACATCAGACTGTCAAGGTGGGCTGGCTACATGTTTCGGTTTCGTTCTTTCATAGTAACCTGAGCAACGTTAGCTTGTAGCATGAGACTGCTTCCTTCTGTCTCTTGTTTTGTTTCTACAGTGTCAGGATTATGGTTCGCTTTAATTATTTTCTGCAGGTTTCAGAACAATGATAAATATTACAAATCTCAGGCAACTAATTAGTAAGTGTCTATTATTACTTCATTGTTGTTGGATTTGTTGTTAGCGATTTTGACTTGGTTTTGGTAGATATTTTGCAATTATCCTTCAGAAAGATGTTATTCTTTGAGAGTAATCTGAATTGCTGGGGGAAAAGATTACAAATAAGCATAAATAGTTAGTTCCCAAGTTTGTTTCACTGTAACTTTTATCTAGTGTCAAAGTATCAGAGCACCCTTGCAGGCCGGGTCAGGAAATAGTTACTCTAAGGAAAGGTGTAAGGAAAAGAGATTCAGCTCCCTCATTGCAAACTGCAAAGTGGGAAGCATGCCTGGGACGAAGCTGGCGACTGGCATATTTGTAGCAGATATGGAGAATTTGGACCGTGATGCTTCCAGTGTCCTCTAAATTAAACCAGGAACTACTCTACTCCCTGGTGTCCCCCAGAACAGCAAGGCTGCAAAGACTTAATGCGAACAACAGCTACTCCTTTTTGAGAAGCAAAGCACGTGTGTTTGCCTTTTTCCGCCACTGCTCCGAGCACACGAAGGTTGTTATAAATTCCCTCTCTTCGCCTAGACTGCTCAGGTGTGTTCGTTGGGTCGCATGAGCCACACATGCTCGTTGCCCGCGGTGAGTTACCCTGAGCAGTTTTTCAAGTGCCGCCCCTATGTTGAGTGTAAACAGAGTATAACAGTGCCTTTAATTCAAGCTTGCTGCCACCTCAGGGTGCAAAGGCGCTGCTGGGGTTAGCCCAGCTCATCGCCTATTGACAGAATCCCCTCGGCCCGTGCAGCACAAGTATGGCTTCACAGCATGGCTGCTGTCACATTCATGAGCCTATACTTTAGCATAGGGTTGTCTTCAGCATAAATTCTTCCTTTCAGCTCTGCAGAGGAAGATGCCAGGGGACATAATTCCCTCTTCTCGATGCAGAAAGAGGATGAGCAGACATTAAAGTCAAAGTTTTCCCAACCTTTTAACTTGCCTGTAAAATGTAAGGGATTAAAAAGAACAAAGGAGTGGGAACTGCAAGAGTGAGAAATTGAAAATCTGCTGAGTGTTGTGGAAAAGCAATTCACCTCAAGGAAACAGCCTCAAAGCATAGGATTTTCTTGCCTGCCTGAAGATTTTGCTTATCCTTTAATCAGGAATAGAGTCCGACAGTGTAGTTTGTGAAATTTATTATTAAAAAAAAAGGTATTTCAGCCATTGAACTGTGCATGCTGTGAACAGTCCAATTGAAAATAATTGTATTCTCATTCTCATATCTGTAAAATTTATTAATAATAAGATTCATCTTGTAGCTAAACAGCAGACACAGAGCCAGAGCAGAGCCTTCTAATCTGCCCTGCAGCAGCCTTTTCTAAGTCAATGCATGGAGCCGTTGGTGCTGCAGCTCATTAGAACTGCACATCAAGCTGTCACCATTGGAAATTTTTGAGCCGTGGCTCTCGGGGACAAGCCACAAGCTGTCAGTAGAATTGCATGCACAGCAGCTTGTAATCATACCATGAACAGGCAACTCAAGTCATTCCTCTTCTATCAGATCTTGCCCTCTAGATATTGAGAGACGGGGCAGGTGTCAGTTTAAAAAATCTGTAACTGTTTTAGTTTGATTTTATTTGATTCTTAGGTGAGTGAGAAAGAACCTTCTTTTTCTTTCTGACTGTGGCATGGGACGCATGGTTTCTGTGTCTGTAATGAATATGTTCCAGCAGCGTATTGATGTTTGTTAAGCTATATGCGCCTGTAGAATAAATATTTTATGAATGGGGCGCCAAAAGAAACAGTACTAAAGAAACTTGAGCCAAAGCTATCACCTGTTCTTACAGTGGAGGGCACTGACTTGCTGTTGGCCAGCTGCCCCCTCGGTCTTCTCAGATCTATTTCCTCCCCTTTGCAGGACGAACAGCTTATGAGAGTACCCTCTGTGATAGTTTAAAAGAGCAGAAGAAGTCTGTGGGTTTCCCCTTGCCATCCAAGAATTGACCAAAGTGCTGCAAGCATTCTCAAGTAAAAATAATAGAGAGTGGTATCTCTGGCCAAAGAATTACTAACACATATTACTTATAAAGAATTATGTCTCAATTAGAGAGCTCTTTAGAATAACAAAAAGGGAGAGAAGCTTAGGAAGAAATTAATATGTTAATATATTTCTGTCTGCAAGCATTTTTGTCAAAGCATGAGTGTACACTTTTGTGCATTAAAAAGCACAAGCTTTTGTTAGATTTGCAAAATGAACAATGCCAGAGCAATGTGAAGAAAATTCCTTGCAGAGGAAGTATAGCCCAGCTGAGTTTTGTAACAAGTCACTTCAGCATTTCTACAGTGAGGACTTCATTTTACAAATTTTCAGTTTTGTCTCTCCAAAAAGACAAGACATCCTAAACAGTATTTCCAGCAAATGGCTTTGAATGATCAGCCAATATCCCTCGACACAACACCAATTCTTTTGCCACATAAGCGCAGACTTACTTACATGACTGGAGACCCAGCAAAGTACCCGACAGCCCAGTGTGCCCCAGTGCTATTATTTGCTCTGTCTGGAGGCTGCAAGTGGGAAAAGTCTGCAACAATTCACACTGTTTCTCTGAGTAGGAAGGAAATGTAGCAAGCTCCCCATTGAATGGGAATTTTCCAAAGCTGTTGTGAACCCAAGCAACTGCCTTTGTACTATGCTAAGAGTGGGCCAACAGGTTTTTTTTCAAGGAAACCAAAAATGTGGTGTAATAACATGTGTACACCTCTCCAAGAGTGGTACTCACTTGTATTTCTGTGTCTGCAGAGGACCTCCTGAGCTAGTGGCTCTGAATGAGCTAGAACAGGGGGCATGGTGATGGGTGGGGTCTGTGAGGGAAGGATCAATGGTTTTGATCAGATGAGGTGAGGATTTACAGCAAAGCTATTGAAAGGCAGCAGCAGACAGGGTGTACAGAGTGTGTGTGTAGCTACAGAGACCTTTGGAGGACTGACCATTAGCTGGACTTAGCACTGAAACAGTGACCATTGATGCTACTGAAACAGATTACCATGGAAAACCCTTTAAGCAGTGTCTGTGTCTAAAAGGTCAGTGTTTACAAGAGGTGGCCACGCTGTTTTAAGTGCTAAGGTTATTTTCTACTCTACACGTAGAAGACAGCAGTGCTCAAGTGCAATTGACAATTCAAACAATTTAGATTTTTTTTCTTTTTCTTTTGTATCATCCTGTCTGCTCGTATCTTATAATTTATTTAGTTCAGAGGGTCTGTTCTGCTTAGCAATTTTTTTTTTTCCTCTGTCTCTAAAATGCAGGTTGTCCGACCATACCAGACGATGTCCAATCCCATGAGTAAGTTGACAGTGCTCAACAGTATGCATTCTCATTTTATTTTGGCTGATAATGGCACTACTGGTAAATATGGAGCAGAGGTGAAGCTTCGTAGACAGCTGGAAAAGCACATTTCACTTCAGAAGATAAATACAAGTGAGTAATGTTTTGCTTGTATTGTTTTATGATTGCAATTTTGTCAAAGATACTATGAGTTTAAATAGGCAATAAGGTCTATGTTTTGGGGAGTAGGGTCTACTGTCTAAAATGGTGAGCATGAGCTAATAAAAGCAAATAATGGTAAACAAACATAAAAGAAAATTGATTTTAGAGTACTGTGTGTAAGGGTACAGCACAAATAGCTGAATTTGTTTCTGATAAGTTTAAAACAATATTGTCAAGGTTCTTCAGGTTCAGTTCAGGTCTTTGGTACCCTCATCTCCTTAAAACTGTATACAGTTCTGGTCCCCTTCATTTTTTTAAAGAATACAGTAGAATTAGTAAAGGTAGAGAAAAGGGTGACAAAAAGTAAGGGAGAGCTTTTTATGATACTTTGCAGTATTGGAAGAAAGATGACTGACATGTGTAGAGGTATATTAAATCCTGCATGACTGCAGGAGAAATGACTGGACAACCCAAGCAGTCCCAGAGCCATTGACATTTAGAGACAGAGAAAGTATCCCACAGAAGCTTTATTATATGCGTGCACTATGTTTATGAGGTTTTCCTAGGCAGCTGTCATTAGCCACAGCCAGAGTCAGAATACGAGGTTAGACGGTCCTTTCACCTCATCTGCTCCAATCTTGACAATACATCCCACATCATGATCAGACTGAAGCCCCAGTTTTGCTCTCAAAGTTATAATTCTTTTTTCTTTTATAATCATGTACCACTTTCCTACATAACATGAAAAGTAAATTGTCACCTAAGTAAGCACTTCTGCTTCGATAAAATAAAAGATGATATCTCAATACTAGTAGTATTAGTTCTGTAGTGTACAGTTGCTTAATTTAGATGGGGAGTTAATGTCTTTCTAGATATTTGGGATTTGTTTATTTGTTTGTTTCTGTTTACAATCATTTAGTTTTTAGAAACTTAGTGCTATCAAAAGCAAAAAGGATCAGCTCTAGAAATTAAACCTAGGCTGTACATAGGGAAGAAATCTTCCTTCCTTAGCTGTGCTGAATTTTTCTTACTCTCACAAACAAACCTCAGTGTTGTACCTGCATAAGCTACCTTTATGAATGAAAAAAGAACTCATTTTTCAAAAGTGATCATATGCACAGCCTCTCTACTGATAACTCTCTGCAAACAGGCAATTTTGAGGCCAGGAACAGTGACAGTTTTTGTGATGGTGGCACTTGAAACTGGAATGAGACTAGGAAAAGCATTTACACTTTCAGACATCAGGTGATAATGAATTACAGGCAGGACCAATAGGGTGAACATAAATGAGCGTGTTGGTCATGCTTGATAAAGCTTTCTGTGTGATGAGTATAGTCTCTGCTTAAATTAAAATGGTGTGCTACTTACACCTTTCAACACCACTTCATGAACTGCACATACTACAGGCTTATTGTTTTTATGGTATCAGAGTATATATTGCTTTTTCTCAGAGAGCAGTGTGTTGGCATGCACAAACGTGTGTGCATGCCTATATGTTTCCTTAGCAGATGGAGATAGTATGGTCTAATCCTAGGTTGACCAGCAACAAAAATTCACATTTGAAAATGGCATATTTTATGTAGTCAAACTGTAGAAAACTGTGCCATAAATAATAATTATTTTGAGGACATCTATAAGAAAAATGTGATCTTTTGCAGTTTACAACACAGCATTGTGTTGAGGAAATCTTTGTGTTAAAAAAACAATCCCTATAGTGGGATTTAACTTAATTCAGGTTTGGACACGAAGTTTATCTGTTGAAAAGTGATTGATGGATGAACCTTCGAACTCCGGTGGTTCAAGACAAATGCTTGCCTGACCTCTTCAAACACCTGCAAGAAATGAAGGATTTCTCTTTTCTGGTTTCTCTCTGCAGCCTGCCCCACTCCCCCATGGCCTCCCATGAGTATATATCTTCCTTTTCTCTTCCCTTTTCTCTGTGACAGAGTCTCTCTATCATTTAACCTTTCCCTCCCAAATTTCTCACTCTTATAAACACAAAAACACTGGGGTCTCACAACACTTCTTCAAAACAGAAACGTGAGAGAACTGTTAATAAGGAAGGTTGCTGGTTAGGTTTGTATATCTTGGCCCAGTGACATCCAGAATGTTTCTGCCACGTTTTGCTTTCCTTTGTCTTAAAAGAAGGTGACTGAGTCCTGCCCAGCCTCCAGTTAACAGAAAAGTGACCATATGGATGAGAAAAGGACCACCTGCCCTGTTGGGTCAGCCAAACAGATGGCCACTTTCTGATGCCTTTCCTTACCCTCATTCCTAGCAGAGCAATGGAGGTCCTCAGCCCTGCACGTGCAGGGCCTGCAAAGGGATCCTGCTGCAAAGGGATCTTCATCAAAGGGGAGTGTGTGCAGCCATGCACGTGTGTCCTTACTTACCATTTTCCAATGGTAAGCAAGGGAAGGAGGGAAAAACACTGACAGCATCAGACTTTTGTTTGCTGGAGAGTCAGGAAAAGGTATGGTTTTTACTTAATTGCCAAACAAGAGAGCAGAGGGCTAGAAAACAGAACAGATTTAGGAACTAATAAACAGTTGATAACTTCTTATTTCACAGCCTGTCTCTGGACAATAGTGCTGAAAGCAGATTTGATTCTTATTTTTAAGCCTGCCTGACTTTTACATGCTAGGCTTGTCATTTCTTCTTATTTACTTTCCTTTGCTTCAACTGTATCTTTCTCTAGTGCAGTGATAGCTCTCCTGGATGTTTGGGATCACACACTATTTACAAATGGAAATTTCAAGGTTGTACTCACCTATTAGAGACACAGAAAATGGTATTCCCTTCAAATACATTAGGACAGTGGCAGTCTCTTTTATAAAAGTTAAGATTAAATCAGTTCATTAAGTATGCCAGATAATTCTGAAAGACTCAGCTGATCTTGTCCCTAATATGGCATCTCTCTCAGTCATTCTGCAGTGTCTAATTTCTTGGATAAGTGTACTATAAAATAATAATAGTAATAAAAATCTTGCCTTATGCCCCCTATAAACACTAGAGAAAAATTTCATTGAATACTCTGTTTCCACTCTACCTCTCTAGCTTTTACCCCTTCCATAGCTCTTATTTTGACCACAGAATATTCAGGAATTAAAAAATGCTTTCCAGGCAAGCAGCGGGTACAGTTGCATTTGTGGGTCAATCTGAGACTGTGAGTTCAGGACCAAGTCACTCAGTTGTGCATTTAGCTAGAGGTCAATCTGATGCTTCAGTGCTCAGGGCAGGTCTTTCTTATTTTCACAAGCAAAGAGTATTTTAACACAGTCCAGCAGCCATCTCTTGCTGTGAGCCACAAGTTGTCTCAAACTCATGAAGTTTTAAAGTGCATCATTTTGCAGTAAGAAACGTTGAAAGTAAGATGAATGTTTCAAGGTCAAAAGGAAATATTGAAGGTGGTCTCATCAGAAATGTTTCTGGTTTCCAATTCAAACAAATATTTGAGTCCTGAACTTTTTGCTGAAATTTAAAGGCAGGGAAGTCACCTTAAGATATGCTCTGGAAGGAAGGAAAAATATTTTTGTAACCATCTCTGCCATATTTGTACAGCATTGTATGAATAAATTGGCAGCTCATGTAAACATTTTTACATTGAAATGTGGACTTAAAACAATTTTAGTTTATCCTATTCCAAAAATATTGCATTAATGAGCAGAAAGTTTTCATGGCAAATGTACAGAGATTTTAAATGCACTAAAATGTCCCAGCTCAAAAGGTGTGATTTTTCAGATACAGTAAGTGGACTGGTATGATGCTATGCTTTTTTTCATTTCTTGGCATAAAGGGATGTATAGCACGTCAGGCTCATATAATTCACTGCTGCCTGTTTACTGATTTCTGATTCGCTGTTTCTGGAAGTGCTTACAATGCTGAACTCTGTCTCACTGCCTTGAATGCAAGAGGGTTCGCAGATATTCGTAGAATGATAGATTTCACATGGGCTGGAACAGACCTCTGAAGGTCCCCAGCCTTGAGGCTCCTCTGAAGGAGGACTACTGTCAATGGTACATAAGCTTGTCTGTAGCTTTGTTTAGCCAAGTCTGAAACCCTCCAATAATGGATATTCAACCATTTATATGGGCTCCAGCAAAGTTTTTGGAAACTTTCCCCACCCCACCATCAGTGTCTGATCTGGAGCCCCCAAACTGCTATTTGTGGCCATTTTGCCTTCATAGGGCCTGGCCCTAACAAGAAGGGTATGACTAACACCTTTTTAACACCACTGCAGATATCTGTAGGCAGGTATTAGATTACTACTTAGGCTTCTTTTCAAGCGCTGCTGTCTCACACTTTCCTCTTAAGACATACGCTCTAGGCCCCTATATACCTTAGTGGCTTTTCTCTGGATGCTTGCCAGTTTCTTCTCATCCTTCCTGAAGTGGACAATCCAAACCTGAATCCAGTGCTTCAGATGCAGCCCCACTAGTGATGAACAGAGTGGGGGTGGGATAAAAACTTAGACTTGACACACTTCTCTGATGTAGCACAAAAGCATGGTTTGCTTTATGTGCACTGAGAGCATGCTGCTGGATCACTTTTGGATTGGCATCCAGTGTAACCCCAGATCTGTGACATAAGGATTTAGTTACCTGATTGGAACAAAAGCTACAAGTTTTACTCTGAACAGTCAAGTAATTTACCTTTCTGGAATCCTTTTCCATGAATGAACACAGAAAAAAATGCAATTTCTGCAGGATTTTCTAGTTTGAACTTCATTTTCCCCAAAATCACACAAGTCCTTATTGTCTTTGAGCCCTGAAATAACTTGCAGTTTAAAAACAAGTGGTCTAATTGACTCTCTATCTTTATAAGGATAACTAGAAGTCACTAGGCATTTGTCCTCAGGAGGTAGTCTTCCATGATATTGTAGACCTAACATTTAATTATTATTTTTCTAAAATTCTTGTGCATCCCTCCAGCTCCTCTCATCCTTGATTAAAGTAATTCTAAATTCTTATGTTTCAACACTCAATTTTTTT